TAGTACGATATCCCTTACGGAATCCTGCCTGGTTATTGTTTTTAATGTTATTATCTTCGGTATATTGACTAATTCTAGTGCTATATGCTTTTTGCACAGGTCTGGAATGTGTTGCTGAAACGTTATTTGGACCAGATCTCTTAAAGAAAGTACTGCCATATTACCAAGGTGAGTCTCACATTTTGGAATACTATATAGTGTTCAGTACAGGTATGACCTAAACACCATTTTGGTCTCTACTCAGACAAATCTGTTGCTGCTATTTGTAGACAATGTCATTTTATGGTTCAATAGTTTAATAAAAAAGCGAGAGGTGAAATTATTTCAGTATGTGAGGAAAGAAAGCAGTTCCTGTTAATGGTTGATAATAACACCAATCTTTCAGGTATTGTGGTCAAATATACTGTTGTAATTAGTAAACAAAATAATTTATGACTTTTGTCACTGGTGGCGCTTTGCTCTATGGCAACATTGTAAGTATGACATTTACTGTAGAATACTTTATTTTCGCTTGGAATTTATTTTCGCTGAAGGAATGCTTCTGTGAAAATAAAATCCAGCGAATATACTTTTTTTCCTATATTTCACATTAAACTCATCAAAAATCAGTGAAAGTAAATTCCATAAGAAACGCCCCAAAAGCCTTTTCAGCGAAAATTAATTCCAGCGAAAATAAAGTATTCCACAGTATTTACTAAGTTTGCAAATTTAACTGATTTTTAAATTTATTCAATATCCACTACACTGAAAGAGTGAGTAAAATCTAAATTATCAGTACTAACAATTGTCTGACCCACTATCAATTAATCATGCTATGTTGCCCATGGTCAGGACAGCTGTCAACTTGTACATGTTCAGATAGCTTTTTTATGGATAATTAATGCGCTTCAAAGAAAAACAAAATCAGATTATTAAACAGACACCCAACCAGGCAACAGTTGATTCATTGTTACATTTAAGCATAAAAGTCAGAATATAAGCCCCTAAACTAAATTTATGACACTTGCAAACCAAACAAATATTTGATTCTAAGCTCTTCTCCAAATCTTTCCTTGCTTGTTTGTATATTTTTAATTGTCTTTTTAGCTTGATATTGCTTTTGGGATATGACTTTTCTTACTTTAATTTATCTTTTGAAAAATCTTTTAGTACATATGCTGATATATAAATGACAAAATAAGTTGTATTTTAACAATACAGTGTATAATACATGTAACTGTTGGTTTATCTGCCCTTCTAATAGAGCAAATATGGTACATATATATATTATTGCCTGTTTAAAAACACAGTACAAAAATAATTTGGTCACAGTAGTTCCACTATGCTTTGAAAAGTGCCAAAATCTATATGACTTAAACTCAGGGATTGCATTAAACCCAAATTACTGGCTTTTCACACCCCCAGTACTAAAGGGGGCCCCCATTTTTGTACAAGGTTTCCCATTTGTAATGAATATACACAGAATATATTGTCAATTCCTCTGCATCAAGACTCGCTACACCAGGGAGAACAACAATGTTACATGTATAGGTGTGTCTCCATCTGATGCATCATCAGATCAGACATAAAACCTTACGAAGGTAACCATTAACCATGTTTGTGATGGTAACATGTTAATAAAAATAAACAAACTACACTAGAATGGTAACCTATTCCATAAGCCCTGTATACTAATCTCCATATTCATTGTCAAGTTCATCTACACATGTATGTGTATTGTGCTACATAAATCTTACAAACAAAATTAGTTATAATATCATGAGAATATCACAAAGTATTCACAAAGATAGTATGGTAGTCATATCAACCGAAGTGTGCATACTTTGAAGTATTCTCGTGAAAACTTATTATTATACATTTTTTTAGTGCTTACAGTAGTAATTTAATTGTAGCCCAAAATTAAAAAGAAAAAATGTTGTGAGAGGATTCTATTTTTGTTGCATGCTTATAACACTTGTGCCTTTGATGTAACAAAGCAAAATTTTCGAATGTCACGCCAATAGCCTTGAACCCACCAATATTGACAAATACCATTGTGTAAAAGTATAATATGAGGTTATTACGAGAATACCTCAAAGTATGCATGAAGACAGTACAGCTGGAGTATCGTCCGACACGCAGCGGAGGTCAATGCGATGGCATACTGTCTGAGTGCATACTTTGAGGTATCCTCGTAATAACCTTATTATTATACATCTTTTCCTTCCAATGATAAACCATGGGAATGCCGAAATCCAAAATAGTTTAGAACAGAATCAGCGAACTTCTTTTTGTGGAGTCCGGTCAAATCGTGGTGACAGCCATGTTTGTTTTTATTATTAGAGGACGCTTACGTGCGTAATCATTCCATATTTGGAATTCACATTTCCTAATATGGTAGTATGAAAATACCCCGTAAAATACCACAAAATTACGGCACGCTGTAACTTATGGCGTTACGATGACAGATGTATAATAATATATCTTATCACTTTTTCAGAAGAAATAGAAGAGAGAGATGATGATGACTATGATGATGAGCATGAACATGAAGTGGTTGATTGGAAGATGTATCAAGACTGTTCATTGTGTTCAGCAAGACAACAGTTGGTGGCTGTAAGTACTGTACATGTATGTACCAAATCTACTGGTAACCCTTTGCTATCTGTTTTGCATATTCTGTAAACTGTTTAATTTTTGCTGGCATCATTGATTAAAAATATGCTGGCGTTCTTGGAGAATATATTTTGCCATAGTCACAGTGACTCGCTGTCTTAAAGATCTGCTACAGCTTTAGTCAAAGTGCAATGTCTGGAGTTTATGAGAAGAAAGACTTCCTCAACTATTGAAGAAGTCTAACCAGGACTTGGTGTATAATATCACCCTGAATCAGGGAAGGTTTAGGTTTGATCACCCAAGCCAACTTTTCACTCAACACAATCTACTAAGACCTCCAAACATGAAGTATTCCTTTCTCATATGTAAACCCGAAAAACAGCTGGGGTTTCCAGATCTGTAATTGGAATCTTTGATCTGTGTTATAAATAAATCTGTCACTTTGCCAGTAAAATTTGTGTCTACAAAATTGCAAAAAATTGTTGCACTTAAAACTTGAATGGTTTAGCATTTTGTTTTTTCACTGCTTTTTGGTTTCATTTTTAAAAGTACAAACTGCTTTTATTTCCTGAGAGATAATCTTCAATAATTTAGAAAATGTGAGATTTTATTTCAGTGAACTTCTCATTGTGATTTTTGAGACAATGGATCTTTATTTGTTTGAGATTGGGAAGCTCATTGGAGCTTTTCAAGACTATCTCATTGCGTGGAACAGCCTCAACCGTTTTGAGTTTCATCCTTGAATAAAAAAAACATTCTTACTACCACATGACCATCAAGCAATTAAAAGTGACTGTCGTCAATTTTTGCCTGTTGAACAGCTTCAAATCAAATCGTGAAATTAACACCGACGAAAATTAAACAGTTTATAGTACTTTATATTTGTGCTTCCTGCAAGACTTAACTGATAACTGTGGCTGTATCAAATCATTACAATAATAACTCCTGTATTGATGAGTTAGTGGCTCATGTAAAACTGTATTCTAAGTTGTTCATGTTTGTTTCAACAGGAATCTTTGGCCAGACACCAAAGGTATATAGAGAGTATGAAGGTCGCTAATAATGACCAGAAACATAGTGTTTATTTGGAGTACATGCACCCTGACATTATTCGAGGTAAGTATAGGAATGCACACTTGCTTGCACACATAGGGCAGTGACTTGTTGGCAAGAATTAGTCACCCATTCAGTCAGTAATACATATCCAAAAGTATAGAATAACATTTGTTATTTGCTGTTGCTTCTGGTATTAAATATACATATATCATCTACATAACCATGTTCTGGTTAATGAAACACTGTATGGGCGGCATTGTCACAGCATATTCCTAGCTAGTAAAATTTTTGATCACACTGGTGCACATGCTAGTTTGCATGTAAAGAAATTATGTTGTATGCTGGTCTAAGAACATGTGTCATGTGATTGCTTCACAAAATATTTTTTTCTTTTCATATTCTCACAACCTCTATGAGAGTCAAATTCAAATTTTGCAGTTCTTAGCTTGTTTCTGAGTTTATGTTCAATGCATTATGACACAGGGATTTGAAAAAAATATCACAATACAAAATCTATAAATTAAGTGTCAAATTCTTAAAATGTGTAGCATTATAAGGATTTAATATACAACTGTTTTAGTTCATGTCCCCAATATCAATTTTCAATCAATTTTCACCTCAGAAACCAATGCAAAAACAAACAAAAACATCAAGGTAAAATCCATTGTTGGACTAATTTCATAACATAAAAAATTAAAAAATGATTTAATTCCTAATTTTATCTCAACCACAACTACATCCTTTCCTTCATTCTATAAATGAAAGTGAATAATTTCTCACTTCTGTTTGACTTCTTTTTATGTAGAATCTGATTTGTACAGCATATCAGAAAGTCCGTCATCATCACAACCTCCATCTCATCCAGCAACACCACTGCCTACTCAAGTGCCGTTGGAATCAGGCTCACCACAACCGCTAGATCTCAGTAAAAGGTCATCCTCTCCTGATGTTCTTCACAATGGCAAAAGTGCTGGCAATTCCTTTCTTAGAGTACCTTCACTCAAGCTTGCTGGGTGAGTACTCCGATTATAGAGATTGTAAAACTAAAATTTTGTGAAAGTTTTCATATTTTATCTATTAAAAGTACATGTCTAGTAGAACAGTTCAAGTATTGTATACTGGATGATTAAAAATGTTACTTATTTTGATCATAGACACTTCTCTGTCTTTTATATAAACACTACAAATAAAGCAAATACAGTACGCCTAATCATGTAACAGCTTTGTAGTTTACAGGTACCAGTATACCACAATTTCATATCAGTATGAAATATCAACCAAGTTAAATTTTTGTGCCTTGTGAAAATATGGCTTTGAAATCACCATTGGATAACATAGGCTGTACTAGCGATGTGTAGTATGTTGTTACATTTATTTAATGATCCCATCTTAAAATAATTTTTCTTTATCATACTTTTTAATGTTCACAGACAGCACCATGGAGAAGTTAGCAGTAGACGAGGACGTCCACCTTTTAAGAGTTCTTACAATAGTACATATACTGAGGCCGACTTAAGACAAGCAATTCGTGATGTGCGTAGTGGTAAACTTGGAACAAGGAGAGCTGCCATCCTGTATGGTATCCCAAGATCTACTATAAGAAACCATCTCAATAAACCAACCGTCTGGAGAAATGAGCGAAGTAGCTTGCCACGAGGAAATTCCAGCTCCTCATTGGGTGATTTATTAGAGAAACAGCCGATCGTGTTAAATAACGATAATGTTGATAGTATTAAAGTTGAGGAAAAGGAGTGGAATGGAAATAGCAGAGAAGCTAAGTTTGAAGATTCTGTTGTGGCTACTAATGGCGACTTGGAATGTCGGCCGTCTTTATTTAAAGAGGAAAGTCTGTTTAGCTCTGCTGTCGATAGCTTAACTTCAGCTTCTAATGGTATCAATGATGATGAAGTAGACCCTGTCACAAAGCTTAGAAATTTTCTGAAAGAGAAGCCAGATCCAGAGCAGATTTGTAAACGCCAACTTACAATGGGTGAGCTGATGCATGATAGTGCCTATAATGATTTCCTCTCTGACATCCCCGGCCGAGATGAACAATTCAAAAATAAGAGAGGTTCTCTTAATTATGCAAATGAAATTAAACTACCCTTCCCTCCCAGTGTTTTTCGTCAACTCATTGAGCAGCGTGTTTCTGAGAAGCAGGAAATGCAGGAGAGTCAGAGGTCTGAACGAGAAAGCTCTTCAAACACACCACTGAAAGTACCGACCTACAAGCCACTCAATCCCCTAGCTGGCCAATCAGACGCTGCAGACAAATCCAAAACAAGTTTGATGAAAGATTTTGGAATTAACAGAAACTCGTTCAGCAGTGATCATTATAGTTCTAGTTCCAAGTCGCACCATCATCACTCTCATTCTCACCACCATCACCATCATCATCATAATAATTCGTATGATTCACATCATAAGCGGAAACATGAAGACCTTGACAAACCACAGAAGCAATCGCGTCCTAAAAGAGGTCGCTACAGGTGCTATGACCGGGACAACTTGATTCAAGCGGTTGAAGCAGTGCAGCGAGGTGAGATGACCGTTACTAGAGCTGGTAATGTGTTTGGTGTTCCACATTCAACCCTGGAGTACAAGGTCAAGGAACGTCACTTACAGAGACAGAGCAAAAGAGCTTCAAAGCGACATCGAGATTTTTCAGATGCAGATCCATCTTCTAAGCCATCATCTCCTGTGTTGTCACCATCTTCATCATCTGTGTCCCTAGCTTCCCTAGCATCATCCACTTCATCAACATCGTCTTTTCTAGAGAGAAGTATTTCAGGATGGTCATCATCAACATCTGATAGACATCGACTTGTTCCAAGCATCTTGAGAAAAAACCGAAGCCATTCATCTAGCAGTAGTCTTCCTGGTAGTATGTTTGCGTCTTTGCTGGAAAGACCTCCACTTGTTGCAGTGTCCAGTGTAGATGAAGCAAGAAGAATACAGGAAGTGATGAATGCTCTTCGAGGTCCAACAGATGCATCACCATTACCCCGTTCAACTGAAAATACAGATTGTTTTATTGTAGGTGAAGTTACTTCCCCAACAGATCAACCAAAAAGTTTACGTGAACTGTTTGAGAGACATTCCGAAAGGCCGGATTCATTTCTGGCGGAGTATGGGGCTTTAGGTTCAGTTGCTGGAGCGGGTCTTGGTGTGGATGGTTCCATCAGCAGCTTCCTTCAGAAGGCTGGTGCCATGGGAGGAGGTGGTTCACACAAGTCCAGTGCAGATGAAGCTTTACAAGATAGTGCAATAAAAACTGACACCAGTGCAATATATCAACGTAATTTAACTACCAATATAGACACTGCATTGAAAAACATAATGAGTGCGTTCCACAAAGGAACCACTGATAATGATCCTGAAAATGACTTAGATAGGAAAGAACAACAGACCAGAGATGAAGAAAGAGCAGAAGACAGCAACTCACAGCATTCATCTGTGGAATTCAAAGCCAAGTTACGCAGATCATTTGAAAAGACTGCCCAAGATGTTGAACGTGAAATGTTGCTGCGAGATGATGATGATCAGAGTAGCAGTGATGATACATCAGTATACAGTTCACAGTCAAGAGTGAAGAATGATGAAATAGAGTGAAGTCGCATTGTAGGCTGTAATTAGGATTTTAATTGTTTATATGACATGTGTATAGTATAAATGATTATGCTATTCTGGTGTGGTATTTGGTGTTGGCCATTTTATAACCATTATATGTAGAATTTAAAAATGACATGTATGTATAAATTAAACAAAACATGATTGAATAATTTTCTAGATTTAAGTACTTTGGTATTTAGCATCCAAATTTCAACACTTATAAAATGAATTAAGCTTCATACATACATACATACTATGTATCTCTGCTAAGTTGTTCTTTACATACTATGTATGTATGTTGCACATAAAATTGTTGCTAACTTGTCAGAGTTAGATTAACTTCTTGTTAATATATTGGGGAAGCCAAAGACGAGGGCCATACTTGTGTGCTTTTGGCTCCACTGCCGCAGTGGGGACTGTACTTGTACGCTTTTGGGTCATGCCGCAGTGGGGACTGTACTTGTACGCTTTTGGGTCATCTGCCGAAGCGGGACCGTACTTGTTTGCTATTTTGGTTCATCTGCCAATGCCAGGACAGAACTTGGCTCATAATTTTTTTTATCAAAGTAATTTTTGATTTATAATTTAGTTGATCGTTGGACATTAAACTGCAACTTGTTAAAACCAGCTACAGTTTGCTTGAACAATTGTGATGGTGGCTTTTAAAGATTGCAATGAAATGCTCAATATGTTTTAGCTCTAACTTATTGAAAAATGTTCCAAGATGAACAACATTTCTGATATTTATATACTTTTTGTGATATATTGTCTTGTTTTTGCCTTGTTCTTATTGACTGCTAACAAAAATTAATGTCTTGCTTTATGCTGTCTTGCATCTTATGCACTACTTGTTTTATTTACAAGAAATACCCTTGCCATACATCTTAGTCTAATCAAAGTGTACTCTATTTCCTGTATTGTGTTATGATTACGCCTATTTACTAATGTATTCAAAGTAGTAAATTATGCTTTAAAAAGTCAACTGCTATTTCGTTGTAGTTGTCACCAAATGCTAAATGTAACACAATCATACCAAAAATACTTCTTGATGCACAGAGAATGTCTTTATGATTAGTTAGTCACATCATGTTATGTCATTTGTAACTTGCCTGTAAAGACCGTAAAATGTATACTCCTGCATAATGTCTATTGATAAACCAATACCTGCGAGTGAGCATGCCTAAGTTTTTGTGAGCAGGCTCAAGTCTTGTCAACATGCTTAAGTCTTGTCAACAAGTTTTGTGAGCTTGCTCAAATTTTGTGTCAGTTCCTCAAGATTATTATGAACATGCTTAAACCTTCTGATATTGGATATTTGACATTAGTTTTTCATGCAGGAGTATTATTATCGGAAACCAAAAACACATTATGGTAGAATAATACCACTTTGATACTTTGAATTATTTTGATTGTGTGTACTTTACATGTATAGACCTTTGAAAAGAGTATTATATTAATATTATGAATATTGCTGTTTTGAGTGTGATTATCATGTCCAAATTTCCTGCTAATTATGAATCCAATCAACTCTGCATAATTTTTTTTTTTTAAAGTTACTGCCATTTATTTTTATTCATCCCATTTTGCCTTGACTTTGTTTTTATGCAGCATTATAAAGAGTACATTGATGTTTGAATTTGTATCATGGTTTAGCTGTAGATAGAAAATTATGTTGGAATCCATGCTTTTCAGTTATAGATGTGCTTATTGTTGATTTGTGATTATATCTGCCTTTCTCCAAAATTAGCTGAACTCGTATTAAGAACATTTGGCCATATTTCAGAAAAATAATGACTGATGGTACCAGATTTCAAAGTTTTTGAGCAATGTCCAGTCCAGTATAAAAGCCTTATGGCTGATGTTATTTGCTCAAATCTAGTATCGAGTAATTTCATTGAGGTGATAAAAATTACACTAAAAATATTTGTTATTATGCATGAAACTAAATTAAATGGTACCATTGTTTTCAATATTTTGTACAGTTTCTGTGCTTGCTGAAATGCAGCAAATCTGAATAATTTACTTACAATATTGTCGCTAGACTGAAGAGTGCTGGATTCTTGCTTAATATATTGATATAGTTTGATTTTATGTAAATTATTTTAGTATTATATGCAAAGTATATATGTGTTTATACTACTGTTTTGTTTTTTGCAAGCTCACCATGACAGCTATAAAATACACATCCCATTTCATTTTGATGTGATGTGTTAGTCTTTATTTTATTATCGTTATCACTCTTCTATCTTCTTGCAACCTGTTCTGTTTCCTAGGCAACTGATATTGGATTACTTTATTAGTTAAAATAGGATGCATATATTAAATGTTTTGTTTTTTCCTTAGAAGCAGTAAATTTTTTTTTTTTTGCTCATGTTTCAACTATGCGCAATGTGTTGTTGTTTTAAACTACATAGAAGTGGTAAATACAGTAACATGTTTCTGTAATAATTTTAGCGATATTGTAGTTATTTTAAAGATTTTCTTATAATAATAGAAGTTGCATTTTCAGTGGTCTGAATTTGTATATTTTCAATCTAAGTGGTAGCATAGTACGAGGATAGTTTTAACTTGTTCAACTCCTAAAAGTGAGGGCAGTGTTTTTTTTAAATTTGTTTTTTTATCGTTTCCACTGTTGATACATTGAGTACATTTTAACTGATTTCTTCGCTGTGCAGTGTTGAAGAAATTTGAGCTGATTTTTTTTTTTGTATTTACAGTGAATCATGAAGAGCACAATAATAACATCTTAGTAGTGTTTTAGTTGTTTTTCCCCCTAGAGAGCGAGGCGTTAATAACTAACATCTGTCTGTTAACATAACAGTATTTGAATCTATTTCATGGCAAACTTTGTGCATGCATGTACTGGTAGTTGAAACAAATATTTGTGTATTTTTGTAGGATTGAGAAAAAAAGCAATTTTTAGTTGAAATAAAAAAAAAAAATATTGTATAAATTTTAAAGTGAAGCTGTGATGTGCAAAAAGCAAAGAATGTTTTGCCAAAACTTTGAAATGCAATGTTAAAAGAGCACAACCTTATGTAGATGGTACAGAAGTTTAAAAAATATACGTTGATTTTAAAATTTAGTACTGTTAAAAAAATCTGATTTAGCAAACGAGTGAAAGAGTAGCTGTATATTGCATATTAATTAATATAACTATAATGTGATTGTTTTATTAATTATTATATTAATAATATATCCAGACCTTCTTGAATACTTTTTGTCACACAAGTATTTCAAAAAACAAAACAAAACAAAATTAACGGTGCTTTCTCCAAAACATTACATTGAAATCAAACTGCGCAAAGACCCTGAGAGAATGAGCATCTTAAGAATACACTTCTTTATTACACTGTCATGTTCGTGTGCATTTGCAAAAAAGCTATTTATTTCTATTCTGTTGTATCTACCTACTGTATTGTAATACCTGTATGGAGAATCGACAGACTGACTGCCTAATAAACATGGTTTTGGATTGCATGATCCAGTCTTGTACTGACTATTGAATCTCTACAATTGGTGAATAAATGTCACGAAGGGGTTTGACCATTGGGGAGTCACAGTGGTGGAATTACAAGGGAAAAAATGTGCACAGTAAAAATTTATAGAAAAAAAAAATCCCAAACATATATAACAAATGTTACAGCTAGCTCAAAACTCGGTGAAGAATAGAAAAACTTTGCACAGTAGTTCTACCCTTTGAGTTTTCTAATGGTCAACTCTTCACCACTAAGATGTGGAAAGCATAGGGGGGAGATCGCTATTCTTTACAAATATGTGATTTTCTATCTGATGTTCCTGGACATGTTCACGGGTACTGCATGACAAAGAACAAATTGATTTTATAATGTAAAATAGTTATACATTATCTAACAGCTTCTTGATTTTTGAATCGTTTCTCGTACTCAAATTGAGGTCACTTGTCAACAATTGGTGGATACTCATAAGGTACATTTGTGCCTTTTTGTGATTTGGACTTGGTTGATTTTCAAGGGTGTAAACTATGTACCCATGCACTCCATGGGAAATGGTGGTTTTCGTGGGAGTGCTGCAATGTGATGCCATAAGCAGAAATAGTAACCCTAC